AGGGGCGGCGGGGGGGGGGGCGGGCCCCGGCGGTGCGCGGCGGGGCGGCCCCGCTGCCTCCGCTCTGAAGGGGGCTGGAGAAATCCCGGGGCTCCCTTGCCCTTCCCTGTACATAAGCCCAGCACCTCTCCCTCCCGCTGTCCCCGCGGTGTCGCGCAGTGGTAACGTCTGACTTTCCCCGTGCGGTGAGCAAGTTTTGGGTGCTTCCCCCGGTGCTCCGTTGATGAAACCTGGGGTGTAGCTGGAGCGAATCATCTCTTTTCCCCTCTCTTTTCTAGTTTTCTAGGATAAGCAGTGAGGAAACAGATCTATAAAGGTATTTAATTCCCATTGAAGTTGATTTCATTTGGACTTGGCACCTAAAAGGTTTTTTTTTGGGGGGGGGGGGGGGAGAGTTGCCTGCAGTTTATGGTTTTTCTTTTTTTTTTTTTTTTTCTTTTAGGGCCCTGTGTCACTACTTCCCAGACTCCCTTACTCCCCCTCCTTTTTATTTATTTATTTTTTAAACCAGCTGTTGTCTTTCTCTTCTCCAAGGTAAAAAGGACTGTTTTGTCTGCTTAGTCTTTCTTTCTCTGGGGTAGTGGGATCAAAAAAAACCCCAGTGAATCTTTTGGTTGAGCAAATGGGATTTACATTTGCCCTGAATTTTACTTTTTTTTTTTTTTTAAAATCTGTATCTTGAAGCTAACACATATACTTACCAACTTTAGAGAACTTGACCTTCTTGTAGATCTTCCCAGAGTTTCATATTGTTAGGTACTATTGTGAAATATATGCTTTCCTTTTTTAAAAAACTTGTTACTTATCTGATATGCTCTTCTCAACATCCAAGTGTTGTCAGTTGTTTCATTTCTCCTTCTTGCCCCTTCACCAGTATTTTGGTGTTGGCTTGATGTTTGGTATAAATCTGTCAGCTTTCTCACAACCTTGGGAAAGCAACAGGGCTGTCTTTACAGATGTAGTGACTAGATTGGCAGGCCAGAGGCTTTATCTCGTTTTCTCTGGGGCAAGAACAAACAAGCGAAGTAACTGCTGTTGCAGTGGACCTGCTTCAGGCTTGCTTACAAGAAGGAAACATCAAGTCACATAGAGCTGAAGCTGACAGAGATAAATCTTGTATCAAGTCTTGTTATTTTATAGTGTGATTGTCTTCATCTTAGTGATTTACGGGACTTTATCGTTTGCCTTATGAATGTCTTGCCTGATTCTCCATTTTATACTCTGGGAGCTGATGTTACCTGAGCGTCTGTTTCATGTCTTGGTAACTGCTGCATCATACCTGTCTGGTATTCTATGCAAACTAGCTCATGTAAAGACTATATGCTGACTTCTTACTAGTTTTTTGCCTTTCTTTTGTTTAATTAACTCGTATTGCTAAAGGATAAACAATCCTCCTACCATTTTAGTGATGGAGGTGGGGCCTAAAGGGTATGGATCTTGCCAGCATTATGTTGGTTTTGGCCAAACCGTTAAGAAGAATGAGTTGCCTTCAACTGGGAGTAGTGTCAAAAATTTATTAAGCCATGACAGACTGAATGTTTTGGTTTTATGACTTTGGCATTCTATCCACCTTGTATTGTAATTTATTTATCAGTGCAGTTATCTTCTGTAGCAGAGGACTGACACAGCAAAAAAATCTCTTAAGTTGTCAAATCTCCATATGTAACTTTCTCCACTGTTGCTTTGCACTGTGAAGAGTTACTGTTGTGCAGCTGCATAGGTAATTGCACTATTTGCAGTTTAAATCTGTTTCCTTTCCTGGTAGCTGACTCAAAGCTCACTTTCTAGTGTTAGAGAATTGTTCCAGTAACCCCTTTCTCTCTCTCTTTTTTTTTTTGACCAGCCAAAAAGTAGCTCTGAATATTGTCACTTGAAGCATGGATGAGAATGGTCATAGCAGGTTGTCTGGCCGAGGATCTGGCACGGGTATTTTCACATCAATTCTTTCGAAGGAGCAATGTCAAGCAGTGGTATACTTCACTAGATGGTGCAGTGAAATTGGATTATAAACAATGATGAAAGTCTGACCTTTCTCCAGCAAAATTGAAGTTCCTCTTGGCTTAACGTACTGTAACTCTCTCAGTATTCACATCTGAAACAGACTCTCATTCTTCAAGTACTCTAGGCCATCCTTGTCTTTGATTGCAGTCATGTTAACTGTATATATCACATTCTTTGACTGCTAAGAATATGGTGATAGCTGTTGGATAGGACCTAACTGTAACTTGGTTTTGTACTTTTTTTCCCCCTCCTAGGACTTTAGTTTTGGTAATTGACTTTGTTCTGATGTTTGTGTTCTAGATTGAAGACAGCAGTAATGCTAACTCTGGCAAGCAAGTTGAAGCGGGATGATGGTGTCAGAGGACCCCGTGCATCCAATCCAGCTTCTGATTCAACTCGGAGGGTTTCTGTTCGAGATAAATTACTTGTTAAAGGTGAAAGGAACTTATATTTAGATATTTTGGGATTTACAGTTTGCAGGTGTGTTGCCAGTAAAGAGTACTAAATTGCATATAAAATGATTTCCAGAAGTATTTTTAAAACTGCTTGTGACTTACCTCAGGGTTTATACTGTAGGGTATATATTGGCATACATTGCATCTCCAACAGCTCTTTGCCTGTAGGATGCTTATTTTCACTGAATAATAGAAAACATAAAAAGCCTCCTCCTTACTTTGCTGAAAGCTTAATCCATCATTGGGAACTGTGTCATCAGTTAAAACATTATGATAAAAAATTGTCACTTAAGTGTTACTAAATACATAGAAGAAGAATATTAGAATTGACTTGATAGGAAGGTATTTTTTGAGCAAAAACGTAACAACATGTGACAGGAAAGAAAGTCCGAAAAGTAACATCAGTGTTCCGGTGGTCTTTAATTGTATAGATCAGAGGCAACAAACTATAAAAAGCTTAAATAAGCAATGCAAAGAGATATTTTTTGTAGGCCTGGAGTCAGTGGAAGTTGAATATGAAGTAGTGAATAAAAAAAACCAGCTCTCATTTTTGTAGTACAATATGGTTTGTTCTAGGAAGGCTACTGTAGGTTGTTATTAGCTGGGTCCCCATTGGTGGTAAAAAAAACCCCAAACTTTTACTTTGTGGCAGTTCTGGGTAAATGAGGTAGTTTGTGAGACAATAATTAAACTATTTTATAGTAAAATGAGGGACAGCTCTTTCTTGCTCTTAATTTTTTCTGTAGCTGACATAACGTTATATTTAAAAATCCATAGGTGCTGACACTTTGTAGTTACTATGGGCTTAAGCTCAGGTTTACTCCCTCTGGTAATAGTTGAGTGTTGTAATGCTCGAGCTGTGCAGCTTGATCTAGTGGCAAGGAATATGTTGTTTAGGTTGATGTTTCTACTAAAAATGATTGATAGCAAATATACTGCTGTTGATGTGTAAGCTGTCGTGGTTAGGATTCATGCCAGTCAAATGAAGCGTGCTCGTTTCCTGGTCTTATTTCAGAATGGCTTGAGACTGACACTACCTGAATGACATTGCTTAACCATAATGTTACATACGGCTTTTTCGAATTAGGGTAGGTTCTGCCGTATAACTATATACTGGAGCAAGGTTCCACTGCAAATGCTGCTGCCTCAGTGCACTGGGAAGTGCCTCAGCTAAACTGTAGGAACATTATGGTCACAATTGTCTCTCTCTGCATTGTTCTAAGGACAGGGAGTTTTAATTCACTGTAAACCCTGATGTGATAATGCTAGCGAAGAGCTTACTTTAGACTTCCAGTTTGGAAATCCTTGGTTAACTCCTATTCTGAGGGGGAAAGATATCAGGCAGGAGGAATAAGCTCTTTAACCAGGCTAAGCTACAAAGCCAAATTACTAAATATATATAATCTGAGATTTTTATTAACCTGCAAGTGTAGACTTGAGGGGAAAATAGCAGTGTAATATAAATACACTTCAACTACAATGCCTGGTATAGTGTGAAGTGCCATAAGAAATTTTACTGTACCCTTAGAGTAATAGTATTTTTCACTTTTATGACTAAAACATTAACCTATGTCTGCAGGGGAAGAAAAGAAGGTAAGCTATAGAAAATTAGTATTGACATTGTAATTGCTACGGCTACCATTAGCAAACCAGTGCAGACTAAGTATTGAATGAGTTGAGTCCCAAACTGACAAATGTTAAAAGCAGGTCACTGCCAGCATCCTTCTGACAAGTGTGAGTGTTGGACCGTGATCTGATTGTGTGTGAAAGTTGTATCACGTGGCTCTCCAAAAAGAGTTGTAGGAGCGGCTGTCAGTCTGGTTAGAATGGTTTCTGGACCAAAATGGGAACTGACAGTAGAAGTAGATCACTTCGGTATAACTACACTGAAAGTGAGGGAAAAATCTAATAGTTAGTCTGAGAAAGACTTCTTGGTGATATTCTCTTCTAACCTACACTTTAAACTGAATGTAGACCATTCAATTACAAAAGTGTCTAGAACTTACTCCAGCTCTTAAAGCTAGATCAGCTGAAGCAGCATCTACAGTGTTGAGAGCCTGAGTGAAGATGGACTTCTGAAGTTGACAGTTTTTTTAGGTCAGGTCATCTAGATCTGCAGAAATGAGTTTGATAGGGAGTAGAGAACTGCCTGCTAAAGGCGTGTGTACAGTGAGGATGCCTTTTGCTGCTTGACTGTATGAAACTGTGATAGGCTGTTGTATTGGACAAAGTTGGTGGGAGCCTGTAGGAGTAGTTGTAAGTAGAAGTTGTTACTGAAGTTTGTTTAGGCTGGAGTTATCAAGCAAACAGATAACAGTTGCAGAATGGGTGAAAGGCTCAATCAGGTCTATCTCCTGGCAATTGTGAATTAAAAAATAATCTGTTCTACAAAAAAGAAAAGAAATGCTGGCGATCAGTAAGGAAGGTGGAAGAGGAGATGAGAAAAGGCCTGGCATGTTCTGTCCTTATTTGCCCCAGCAGTTGTGCTGAGATTAGTGCTGGTTCAGTTGTACCTCTTAACGGTGTTAGTGGTGGTGGTTTTATTCTACTGTGTAAAGCCTCTGAGTTGAAAGAACAAGGAGCTGTGGTCACGTACATTAGAAAGCTCAGCGATAGCTATGCTCTTCCCATAGCACATCTGGATCCTTTTTGGCCTCAAGTAAGTCTATAGCTTCCGAGTCAGTAGGAGAACAGTGGGCAGCTGGTCCATGCAGCGTCCTCCACAGCAGCTTAGACACATGGTAGGCTGTCCTGGAAGCTTAGTTGAGAGTGATTTTTGGCACAGTACCTTAAATCCTGCCTGGCCCTGGGAGCTGGCGATAGTGTATGAACCAAGGTCGGATGGCTGTTTGCTTGCTTGAGTGATGACGATGATGTGCTGAAGAGATACTCTCCTATTCCTGATCCACAGTGAATTGGTGATAGTCTCACAAATTCTGCAGGCAGATGTCTGCCAGTTTTACTAGAGGTATTGCCCAGACACAGACAGTGTCTGTTTTTTTATCTGGAGGTAAATTAAAGACAGCCTTGTTTGTGTTGATAGAGTCCTGTCCATGGAGGCATTATAGGATCTCTTTGAAGGATCTGTTGTCACATTGATAACCCTGCAGTCTTCAAATGTATTGTGTACACTAACTGGTAAATAGATCAATGACATTTTGATTATGGGGTAGATAACTGTGACTCCAGCCACTGATAAGTGTAGACAATGCTTACAAAATTTTAAAAATCTGGCATAGACCAACTACATGTATCTGCTAACTGATACTGCCTTAAAGTAGGAACAATAAGTGATAATTTAGGTATGATGTTAGTTATTTGCACCATATGAATGAGAAGAAAATTCAAATTTGGCATTTGAAATACTTTTAGTAAAACTGGAGTGTGCGAGCTATCAGCTGAGTGTTGTCAAGTGCTGTCCTCGGCTTTAGTGATGGGTGCAGGTTTTTTTTCCCACTTCTATGCAAAAAATTGCTATTAAAATACTGGTGCCCTTCATTAGTTTTTCTAAGCTGTGCCTTTGATTGCTTACGTGTCCAGTATTGTTATATATTCAAATATCAATCATGGCTCAGGGTGCTGTTTTGTTTGGTTATTTCATGGACATATTATGAAAGGAAAAACCTCTGTCCCTGAAGTTTTATGTGGGGAAGTAATTCACTCTGAGACAGCTGGATATTCTCTTCCAGCTGTTTTTCCTCTGGAGTGTTAAAAGTCATGGCTGCTAAACAGGATTTGGTGGCAGCCTGTCCTGTGCTGATTATCTCAGCAACTAGTGGAGCACATCTGGGAGGTTAGCAGGGCACATGTGTCTGGGGTGAGGAGCACAGTGATAGTTCTGATCTGAAACCCTGGGAAGTCAGTGGAAAACATCCACCACTTCAAAATCACTGAGGGCAGAAGTGTCTGAGGGTGTGGGAGGGCCATGACTAGTAATTCAGGCTGGCAGTTCTTGGAGAGGGGCTTTCTGGCCAAGGAGGAGCAGACTGGAGAGAGACCAAGCAGTGACTAATATGTTTTAAGACAAATCAAACGGAGGAAATGTGAAAAACTGGAGAAGGCAGAAAGCAAATACTGATGTGGGAAGGAGGAGCAGACAGAAAAGGTGCTTGAAGGGGCTTTGCTGCCTCTCTGGCAGGGAGAGAGGCTCTAATAAAGCACCACTTTGTTAAAAGTTCAGTGTGACTTATTCTTGCATCTCTATTTTCACTGAATTTTCAACATAGGCTTAGTTGAAGAGTAAGGCCCTGATTCTGTAGACCTAGTACTCAAAATAGAACAAGCCGTACACTTTAGCAGCTTTCAGTTTGTTCTGTGCTGCAGAGGAAATTTTTGATGTTGAATTCATCTCTAAGGGGGAACTTCATTAAGTTAGGAATACGGGCCGCATGACTGCTCCTGAAGGATGCTCTGAGCCATGCAGTGCTGAACTTGAAAGGCAAATCCTTTCTGAAAATTTGAAAGGAGCTGAGGACAAGTCAAAGTACTATTAAGTTTAACATTGTATAATGAACATGACTACTAAATTGAATTAAAGATAAAGAACATGCCAGGATGTCAGAAGTAGCACCGATGTATGTGCTTATTGATCACAAGGGTTATCTCTTGAAAGGCTTTTTTATACTGCACCTAAACATAATTCAGTTTTGTATTACCAGTGCTGCTTAGTTTGATTGTAAGTGACAGCTTGAAATAACTTAATATCTAAGAAAATGAGTTAGCATGGTTTATTCCTCAGTTGTCTGCAACATTTGTGGGTTTTACAACCAGATTTATTTAACTGGAAAATGTTTCAGGTGTGCATGTGTAGAAGGAAGTTGGAAACTGATCATAAAAATGAGGTAAATGTGCATTGTAAGTAAAAATGCGAATCCATGTATTTGCTTTCTTTGGGTATGGTAATATCCCTCCTCAAAATAGCAGGTGAGGAAAATTGAGAGGGGAAAAATACTTTTTTTTTGAGAATTAATAAAAACCTTCCTTCATAAACAGTCTTGAAATTACTTGAGGCATTGTTTTGAAAATGCTGCATTAACTTATGTACATTGCACAACTTGAATCACAAAAGCTTTTCCTTTTCAGCGATGCTTCTTAACCTCCCCAAAATGAAATCCTTTATTTTGGAAGAAGACAGTGGAAAACTGTTTGATGAATGAGTGATTTATATTTATTAAAGAGGAAACTAATAGTTTACACTAAAATGCTTGCAGCTGAACTGTGATAGGTAATGTAAAGCAAAAAAGACACAACAAGAATTGAAGCTAATTTGAAAAATTACTGAGACTTTCTAGGATTTCACTGACAAACGGAGGCCTGGTTCAATGTATTACTTTGATTCTTAGGCCTCTTATTTTTAGCATACCTGAAGTATGAGTTGTTATATTATAGTGTTAGAGATTTCCAACCACAGTCGCTTTTTCTGGTTTTTGATATCACACTAAAAAGTTTTGTAATAGTGTATAGAAGCTGATGCATGTGATTTGATAGTATCTTGTTCAAAATAAACATTTGGAAGTGGAAAGGAAATACACATCTCTTACTCCATTGAAAATCTGGCAGTATTAGGCAGCTTGTTTGACTTCTAATACGTGTACGTATGGTTGTACAGTTCAGAGGAGCTAAGTAGG